AGTCATCTCCAGTTAGTAGCGCGCTCCCAACCACCGAACCACCGAATCACCGAAGCACCATTCCACTTCACACTTTTTTATATGCACATACATATTTCTACACACACACACACCTTCTCCATATGTCCATAAAAGCACGCATCGTGCGCGCATATCTTTGGAGCTGAGGCTGTTCGTGGTTTGGCAAATGTTTCAATTCCGCTTTGTTGTTATTTATCTGAGCTGCCTATGCAGCCAATTTAACAGTTTCAGGCAATTATAGTTGTCACCTTGTTTCATTGTTTTTGTTTTGAACAGTGAGTTGAGTTGAGTTGAGCTCCCCTTTATTATTGCACTTGCAAGTGGAGAGTGACTATTCTGCCTCGGTCGCTCGCACAGTGCACATTTGTGTATACATATATTTCTCACTACTGGCTTTTGGAAGCTCTCAATTGGCGCTCTAAAACCCGTTTCAAAGTGTTTCAATTTGCATTTTGTTCCACCCACTTAGCTCCAAAGCGGTGCGCTGAAACGAACTGCATATTCCACAGGCCCGTATAAGTTTCAGCTCCAAAAATTTAAGCTTTTCATACTTGTATTTTGTTGATAGTTGTGCTTTTGTTAGCCAGATAGCTTTCAAATGTTTTTAGTTCTTGCATGCAGACAGGAACTGCATAGCTTTCCTGTTGACCTGGCTAATAGCTTCCGGCGGCTAGCACGAGCTTATGTGGCACGAAGAAATGTTCATGAAGTTCATGCATTCAAATGGAATAAGGTGTTGCAAAATTTTTAGATGATGAAATAATGTTACTTTTGATTTGAATAGCCAGAGTAAGTAGGAAATAGCGCCGCACGCCTGTTGAATCATATAAAATTAGCTTTTCCGGGAGTTTTAGTAAATTAAATTCTTATCTAAATAGTGTTTTATATCCGAGAAATGTTTAAATAATAGTTTTTAAGGTGCGATTTTGCAAATTCAGCAATTACACTGTACAGTACACATCATAATTAATTTCACAGTACACGTCATAAGTAATTTCTCCGTTTTCTGAAGTTAGCCTCCGAAACCGTGATATGGGCCTACGAAGTTCGAAATTGGACCTAGGATAAGAAAATATATCTAACTATTGTGTGAGAACAACAAAAAAAAAAGTAAAAATATAGACGTAGTTCACCTTTTTTGTACAAACTTATATTGCAAGTGCTATAAGGGGTCAAAGGTCAGTTCTTCGAAAAATTAAAAACCTTATATTCGAAACAATTTGGAATTGTTTTTTAAAAAACTGGCATCGTTGTAAAGGTTATCAAACACTCTTTGTTTTTTTTTTTTGAGGAACAATATTAGTTATAATTAAGTATATGACTTCATATAAGTATATTATTCACAAAATATTTATGAAAAAATAGCAATGATAAAAGTAGTAGAAATTATTCTTTCGATACCAAGTTCTTTTTTTCGATACTTACTCGATACCGAACAAAAACAACAAGAAAAGTATCGAGTATTTACTTGTATCGATTGAATCCTACTAATTAGTAATACAATTCATTACTTTATTTGAATAAAACAGACTGCACTGGATAAAACCTGGTATGCGACATCTTAGCAAGTTCTGGCTATTTTTCCCCAGTTTATTCAATGTTTATTTTTTTTATAAAAATTCTGCAAAGTTCGACTAAAAATTCTAAATTCCTTGTCAGCAACTTTGGACAAAATTTTGCTGCTGTTTTGTAGCCCATTAAATTTTAGTATAATAAAATGCAAGTTTGAAGTATCTAGAACTTACCGTTGATTTTTGGCAATTTTTTTTCGTTGAGGGTCAAGTTTTAAATACTTGAATTTTGTACTTTTATGTACTAATATTTAATGTGCTACAAAACTGATTACTAAGAAGAAAATAAACATTAAATAAACTAAAGGAAAATAGTCAAAACTTGCTAAAATGTCACATACCAGTGTTTATTTAGTTCTAAAATTAAAGGAAATTTTCCGTTTTATTTAAATAATCAAATATTCAATTATATTATCTACTAATTAGTATTTTTTTTACCTAGGGCATAGGTTCGAACTTTGAAGTCCCATATCTCGATCTCGAAGGCTAACTTCGAGAAACAGAGAAATTAATTTTTTAACTATGACTCAATCCCTTAAAAAAATTGGTTTGGTCCAATACCTAGAAAAAAAGTTGACGTTATTTGATTGCGCTTAATTTCCTACATTCATATTCTTATTTTTCTAGTTTGACCGCCTAAGCGATTTTGGCGACTTCAACAGAGCACGCCACTTGTTTCTCCTATGTGCCAACTGACACCAATTGGAAATGCCAAGACTAGCCAAGCCCTTCTCCACTTGGTCTTTCCAACGCAGTGGGGGCCTGCCTCCTTCTCTGCTACCACCAGCGGGTTCCGAGTTGAATACTTTCAGAGTTGGAGTGTCGGTGTCCATTCGAACGGCATGGCCAAGCCAGCGGAGCCGCTGTATTTTAGTTCACTGCACTATGTCCATGCGGTGTAAAGCTCATACAGCTCATCATTTCGTCGTCTGCGGTACACGTCATCACCAATGCGTAAACGTCCGTAATTCTTCCGCAAAATCTTTTTCTTTCGAAAACTCCAAGGGGCCCCTCATCGGAAGTTGTCATTGTCCATGCATCTGCGCCATATACGAGCACAGGCATGATGAGTGACTTATAGAGTGTGGTTTTCGTACGTCGAGAGAGGACTTTACTCCTGAATCGCGTACTCAGTCCAAAGTAGCATTTGTAGGCAGATTAAAGAAATCACACGAAAGGCTCGGAGAGGTCATTCCCAATTCTGATGAAGCTGGTGGTGTTGTTCAACGTCATTTTACAT